TGAATTGCTGGCCACCTGCCCATGATGCAAAAATATCATCTACCCTAGGAAGGGGATACTTATCTATTTTAATCTGTGTGTTAAGAGCCATGCGGAAATCCCCACAAATCCGTATCTCGCCATTTCGTTTTCTCACAGTCTCCAGTCAAGTCTGGTCTGATTTTCATTCAACACATGACATGGATACTTAGGCACCTACCAAAAAGTGGAGGTCCTCCGTTCTATAAGATATAGAGGTAGTTTCTTCTTACACTTGTTGAATGTAACTGTGACTGTCACACAACCCACTGGTATTAACAGCTCTTTAGAATATGTCTGCAGTCTCGCTGTTGTCTGAATTATTGGCCTATGTATTTTAAGGCGTTTCCAGTCAGTCAAAGAAATCACTGATACAGCTGCACCTGTTTCCAAATCCATAGTCCGTTCCTTTCCATTTACAACAACCTGAACTGTGAATGCAGCCAAATTAGAACCTATTTTATATATTTTTACATTTCGGACAGGAAATCGTTCATCCGAATCCTCAGAAGACTCCTGCATTTGTACTCTATAGGCATTCTTTGCTCTGTCTCTCAAGCGATTACTGCCTCTCTCTGCTGTGGATTTACACACTCTTTGTAGGTGGCCCATTTTACCACAAGCATGACACTTGGCATCCTTGAATCTGCATGTAGTTGCAACATGTGTAGCAGCTCCGCAGCGATAACATTTGTAATGTGAATGTTCCTGTTTTGAAAGTTTCTTTCCCTGTGGTATACTCCGCGCTCTAGCGTCTAATTTTAAAACTTCTAGCTCTGCCTCCTGTGTATTGTCCAGTCTGCTGTGTAATAGATTAGCATCCTTAGAGGCTTGTTCTATAATGCTTGCCATGTTCATTGCCTTTGTAAATGTTAAATCTTCTTCTGTAAGCAGTCCCCTTAGCACTGTATCACTTGCAATGCCCATTACAAACTGGTCTCGCAGAGCAGTGTGCAGGTAGTCCCCAAAACAGCAGGTGCTGGCGAGTTTCCGTAACGCAATGGCATATGCGGAAACTGATTCACCAGGTTCTTGTCTTCTTTTATAGAATTTAAATCTCTCTGCTATCTCTAGTGGTTTTGGTTGGAAATGGCTAGTTAACAGAGTAATCAGGCTTGCCAATGGCTTGCTGGCAGGTTTCTCTGGGTGTAAGAGGTTTCTTAGCGTATCATACATTCTGGCTCCTATAACTGTTAGGAAAACAGCGACCTGTTTATTGTCAGGAATATCATTAGCTGTGAAATATTGTTCAAGCCTTTCAACCCAAGAGGCCCATAAATCCGAGTCAGGATCAAAGTCATTTATAGTGCCAATGGCTGCCATGTCAGTTTGGGTTCTACAGCCTCGCCGCCACTGTGATGTATTGTACAAATCAGTCAATAATTCCTGTATAACGAAGTACTCACTTTATTAATACATATATAACAGGATCTTCATATTGCAGCCTTGTTACACAGGGTTTCAAATCCCTCGAACATTCCACCAACTGCCAACAGGAACAGGAAGTAAAGAACCAAAAGAAAGGAAGTGCATCATTCACAGCCAACAACAGCCCAACTGCCCAATGCCCATACATCACAATACATATACTCATACACTCACACACTCATACACAGCCCAACTGCCCATACATCACAATACATACACTCATACACTCCCCAACTGCCCATACATCACAATACATACACTCACACACTCACACACTCATACACATATCAGCCCAACAGTCCGTACATCACAGTGTGTGTGTGTGTATATATGGGCAAGCAGTGTATGCACTGTGTGTATATATGGATGGTTAGTGTGTGTGTGGGGGCAGTGTGTGCAGTGTGTGTGTATATATGGGTGGGCAGTGTATGCAGTGTGTGTGTGTTTATATGGGTGGGCAGTGTATGCAGTGTGTGTGTGTGTATATATGGGTGGGCAGTGTATGCAGTGTGTGTGTGTATATATGGGTGGGCAGAGTATGCAGTGTGTGTGTTTATATGGGTGGGCAGTGTATGTGTATATATGGGTGGGCAGTGTATGCAGTGTGTGTGTGTATATATGGGTGGACAGTGTATGCAGTGTGTGTGTGTGTGTGTATATATGGGTGGGCAGTGTGTGTGTGTGTGTGTGTGTGTGTGTGTATATATGGGTGGGAAGAATGCAGTGTGTGTGTGTGTGTGTGTGTATATATGGGTAGGAATATGTGCAGTGTATGTGTGTAGTTGTGTGTGTGTATATATGGGGGGCAGTGTGTGTGTGTGTATATATGCCTGGGCAGTGTGTGCAGTGTATGTGTGTGTGTGTTGGGGCAGTGTGTGCAGTGTATGTGTGTGTGTGTTGGGGCAGTGTGTGTATATATGGGTGGGCAGTGTGTGTATATATGGGTGGGCAGTGTATGTGTTTGGGGGGGCAGTGTATGTGTGTGGGGGGGCACTGTGTGTATATTTGGGGCACACATGGGGACTGGCGTGGTTCTCTCTGTAGAGGTCCAGTGGGGCTGCTGTGAGGCGTGCGGCTGTATTGGCATCCAAGGTGGCGAAGGAGCTCTGATCTCCCTGCTCTGCTCCCTCGCACCTCGCAGGCTGCCTACTGATGAATGACGTCATATTCCGGCTCCCTCAGCATCAGCAAATGGCGCACGAGGGAGCAGAGCAGGGCAGGGATGCTTTGGATGCCAATACAGCCGAACGCTGCGCCGGCCGGTCAAAAAAGTGGCCTGGTAGGAGAGAGTGCTTTACTATTGCAATTTACTATTTACTTTTGATTAATTTTGAATTCTTGACAATTATTTATAATAAGTTTCTTTATTTTAACAGATAGTACTTCTAACGATAACCTGCAACTAAGTTCCAGAAGATTGCCCTCTGTTCCACCTATCACTAACTCAGCTTATTATCAGGTAAGTTAAATTGATCAATGTTTCTTTGAAACCAGAATAAATCAACTCAATTGTTTATGCAAAGTGTGTTTTATAGTTTAGAATTAAAAGGTATTCAGTCGACTTTCTAGTCTGAATTTGTGCCGAACAGCCACACACCAGAATCTCAGGGGAAGAAATAACCATCAGCAGAGGCATAACTAGAAACCATGGGGGCCCTGGTGCAAAAATTTCCCTGGGGCCCCCTCATACATCCCATTTTCACAAAATGAAGCCGGAGATTCAGGTTGCAGTCACCAGGGTATATGCTAAATTGCTCCTTCCCACGGCTGGATTTCAGCATGCTGATCCGTGCTGCAGCTGTCTCCGCCCACTTTGGTGACGTCGTCTACACGTTTCACCGGATGCCCAGCTTCCACAGGACGTTTAAAGCTGGGGACTGGTGAGCACCCCTCCCTATCCCTCTGCGGGGATATTAGACTTGTGTATATACTTCTGGAATAAACTGTCTTAACACTTTCTAGGAAGGGGTTAAACTTACCTCTTTCTCCAGCGCCGGACGGGGAGCTCTCCTCCTCCTCCCCGCATGCATTCAGCCAGTCTCATAGGAAAGCATTCACAATGCTTTCCTATGGACGCTGGTGTCTTCTCACTGTGATTTTCAGTTAGAAGCACGCAAGCGCCTCTAGCGGCTGTCAATGAGACAGCCACTAGAGACTGGATTAACCCTAATTCTCTGAAACTGCTATGTTTATAGAAAAAAGGGGTTAACCCTAGCTGGACCTGGCACCCAGACCACTTCATTAAGCTGAAGTGGTCTGGGTGCCTATAGTGTACTATGGGTGACCTAAAAAGTGACCTTCTAGGGAGTTATATTAGTGTTTTAGTTTGGTCATATCTGGTGTCCCTGAAGAGTTATTAGAAATCCTCTGGTCAGTGAGGCAAAGGTCAGGGGTCAGACAGCCTAATTATAGTTTACTCTTATTATTTGGGTAGAATCCCATGCAAGCCAGAGTGCAAGAAGTGTTTTGTAGCCTGTATATGGGCTAAGTGTGCATTAAGTGTGTACAGCAATGATACACTGCAATCCTGAGCTCCCTCTAATACACTGTACTGTGTTCAATACAAGGGCTACATTTGGGCAGGGTGGGCACAACTTGGTCACCCCTCTTCCCCAGCTATTGCAGAGCTGCAACCTTCTGATGCTAACATGAAGGATGTCAAAGCTTCATGGGAGTTGCAGTTCTACGAAAGCTTGTGGGTCTAATCTTTGGCTACATTGTTTTTTGGGCATTCGTTGCTTTCCCATTATATGGAGAGCCGGGTATTATTCTAATCTGTGTGGTTTTGTGAGTGGAGAGGCAGGGTATATGCATTCCTGTGACTGGGGACTAATCTTTATTGTAAACACAGACATTTGAAAAGCATTACATAGGATTTCCCAAGTACCTGTATACAGGGACGGATCTTCCGCGAGGCAAACAGGGCATTTGCCTTGGGCGGCACTTTGCAGCAGGTGGCAAAAAATGCCACACCCAAACCTCCTGGCAGATCCCTTGTTTGCCTCGTATCCTGGGGGCTCAAGAGCTGGCTGGCTGGCCATGTTTGAGCCCCCCCGAGGTGGGCGGTGGTCAGTGGGCAGCGAGGGAGCATGCTCACCTGAGCTCTTCCTGCTCAGCCAGGGAGGTGGTCAGGGAGGTGATCGGTGTTCGGTAGTTACAGCTACCGAATAGAATTACATGAAAAACAAAATAACTTCTGATTTCTTCACAATTATTATTTTTATTATTTAATTTAAACAGGCTGAGTTGGCGGCGAGGTAGCTTTAATATTCCTGCTCAGCTCCCTCGTGTGCCGCTTAATAAAGCCAGGAGCCGGAATATGACATCAGACTGGCTCCCGGCATCACTAAGCGGCGCGCGAGGGAGCTGAGCAGGAATATTAAAGCTCCCTCGCCGCCAACTCAGCCTGTTTAAATTAAATAATAAAAATAATAATTGTGAAGAAATCAGAAGTTATTTTGTTTTTCATGTAATTCTATTCGGTAGCTGTAACTAGTGAACACCGACCACCTCCCTGGCTCATTAACTTCAAAGACAACAGTCATTTAAGCCCTCTCCCTGTGTGGCCGCCGTTTGTATAGCCGAACGTCACGTATCTGAGAAAACGGCGGCCATCTTGTTTACACAAAAGGAGGCACCTGGCTGTTGAGTGTCTGAAACTAAAATCGGACACTCGTCTTCTCGAACACCGGTCCCACTGTATGAACGCCTGCTTCCTTTTCCCAAACAGCTGGGAGAGCGCTGTTCGGTAGTTTTGTTCCCACGAACGATGGGAACAATCGCTACTATGAGCCAGGGGGAGCCATTCGTGAATTTATTCATTTTTTGAGACGTTACGAACTAGACCGGCAAAACCACCAATACTTGTGGAGCTGTTTTGGGCAGGAGCCTCGTGTGTGGCTGGTCACCTAAGACTTCCATGGAATTCAAAAACCCCTGTACTAATCTGGGTGATTTTTGGAAATGTTGGTCACCCATATCAGGGCTATCAGGGGATATGACTTTTGTGGGAATATTATGTGTTTTGGGGTACATTTCAGAGTTTGGGGAAATTGTCATTTTTCTACCTGGAGATAATTGAGTTATTACTTTATCAGACTCAATTATCTCCAGGTAGAGAGGAGGGGATTGTATGTTTGTGGGAGTGTCACAGTTGTTCCTGGATTATTATTGGCTGTATGATTTATGTTCCTGTGGGAGGTCCCTTTGCAGGGACTTACCCGACTGCCGTACACAGGGGCGGGCTGGGCCGGGGGGCAGGGAGGCAATTGCCCCCCAGGCCGCCCTAAATTCCTGTAAGGCCGGCCGCGGCGGGCCGGCCCTTTAAATACTGCAGCCGCCCGAGCGCTCTGTTAAGAGCCTCAGGCGGCTGCA